GAGAATGAACTTGCAGCTCCTCTTTTCATGGGAAATTAAAGGTGCCTGCCTCATTAGCAGGCTGAGAAAAACATTACTGTAGGTAATTTGATTTACCTAAGCTAATTGGCTGGTTCAGCGTCGTAGATGATTCCCCACTGCACTCTTTAAAGCCTGCTAGTAACTGTGTTTACAATGCACGGGCACACTTGTTTGTAGATTATTTTCAAAAATTCTCTGAGAGCGCCCTATTTCTGAACTGTGGTTTTGACTTCCTTACAAACTGTTTCATACAACAAAAATGCTGAAGCATTTGATATTAAAGTCAGAGTCGTGGAAGTAAAATTTGCAGATATAAATAACATGGGAAAAGCTCTAACCACTTCTCAGCCACATTAATTTTCCCACGTTTTCCTCGTTATGTATGGTTGTCTGAAAAACCTGTAAATGAAACAGGAAAGCAAATCCTTTTCTTGCTATTTCCTTCAAAATCAGCATCTACAAGTCAGCTATCCAACATGCCACCTTTCACAAGCAACAGGTCTGAAATAATGCAAAAAAAAAAAGTGTTTCCTTGTAGCCCTCTTTTTGGTAAATAGCTCCTACAGCATTCTGTACAAAAGCAAGCATCCCAAAACTGTTCTACCCTAAATCTCAGCAGAGCTCATAAACCCAACTTTAGATTCAAAGGACATTTTATTCTGGCAAGGACCCCAGAATTACAGCAGTGTTTTTGTTGCCAGCCTCTGGTCTGCTAATTACCTTTATTTTATGGAACTAATGATAGCCTTGGCATGAATTCCACACCAGACAAGCTATCAGTAAAATTTCTCCAAGATGGACCACTGTCAAAAGATAGTCATTGGGCTGGGAGGTGTAACAGGAAATGCAGGAAAGGAAGATTGTGTAGATTGAATATAGTGTGAATTTATAATATACAAAATCGCTTCTGGTTTATCTTTTCCTCACTATTATCTTAGAGCAGTTAAACCACAAAATTTAGCAGAAGGTTAGTCTCTGCAACATAAAACTTTAAATTTACCATTGGGTTGCACGCCAGTCACAAAATGTAACTAACTTCAAATCACAGGCACGTATTTTCATCCTATTATTAGGAATCTCTGCATTCCTCCACAAGCCCCAAGAACCTTTCCAAGTGGTTAGTGATGAATAATCGTGTGTGCATAATTCATGTACAGCTACTAAACATTATGTAATTGCCCGTAAGTACCCTTACTCAGAACAGGGCAAGAATTGTACCACATATATATATGTATGCATGTGTACATAAAATCACACATTCATATATATAGAAAGACAGAGATATGCATTTCACATCTATTTGCCCCATCTTTAACTCATATCTATCTTTTCCTATCTTATTCTCTTATTCATTAATGTGTAAAAGCTCCACACATACTACACAATTAAAGGAAAAATTAATTTCATATAAAATATTTCATATGCAAGAAAACTAAAATAAAAAACATTATGTTCTAGTCAACAATAGATAAAAAATATTATCACAATCCCACGTATTACCTGGGTCAGCACAACCCCAGGCACGTCTACAGGTTGGGTGGAGAAGAGATTCAGAGCAGCCCTGCAGAGAGGGACTTGGGGGTGGTGGTTGATGAGAAGCTTGACATGAGCCAGCTTCAGTGTGCGCTTGCAGCCCAGAAACCAACTATATCCTGGGCTGCATCAAAAGAAGTGTGACCAGCAGGTCGAAGGAGGTGATCCTGCCCCTCTACTCTGCTCTTGTGAGACCCCACTTGGAGTACTGTGTACAGTTCTGATGTCCTCAACATAAAAGGGACATGGAGCTGTTGGAGCAAGTCCAGAGGAGGGCCACAAGGATGATAAGAGGGCTGGAGCACCTCCCGTATGAAGACAGGCTGAGAAAGTCGGGGCTGTTCAGCCTGGAGAAGAGAAGGCTGCATGGAGACCTCCTAGCAGCCTTCCAGTATTTGAAGGGGGCCTATAAGGATGTTGGGGAGGGACTCTTCATTAGGGACCGTAGTGGTAGGACAAGGGGGAATGGGTTCAAACTTAAACAGGAGAAGTTCAGGTTAGATGTAAGGAAGAAGTTCTTTACAGTGAGGGTGGTGAGGCACTGGAACGGGTTGCTCAAGGAAGTTGTGAATGCTCCAACCCTGGCGGTGTTCAAGGCCAGGCTGGACAGAGCCTTGGGTGACACGGTTTAGTGTGTGGTGTCCCTGCTCATGACAGGGGGGTTGGAGCTAAATGATCTTAAGGTCTTTTCCAACCCTAAATATTCTATGATTCCATGATCACTGAAAACATAGTTTATAATCTCAGAAATACCATTTCTTTACTTGTATTTCCCACATCTTTTTTAAGCACAAGTATGACATCATCTTGCAAATACTCTTTCAAGTGGCAAATGTAATTTACTGCAATTTCTGCTTTATGTCTCCTCCCCTACTTAATTTTTTACTTATTGTTTTTTACATTTCAAATTACTAAAATCCAGCTGAAGTAACTAGTAACAGGAGTTATTTCTCTACTAGCCAGTGTAATTAAAACTTGCTTTCAGGGGATCAAAACTGAACAATCACAGGTTTGGTTTTTTCCCTCCAACTTTTCCAAAGTAAGATCAGATGCTGCATACTGTTTGCCCTTCCACCCTATTTATGTAATTACTCACAGATTTCAAGTTCTTCATTAATTATTTTTTTCCCATTTCTTCACAAGTTAAGGAATAAACCCCAACTAGTCAAGTCAATAAAATGGTCCAGTATTTCCAACCTTTTCTGTTTTACATTATTGCACTATCCCAAAAGGGTGTTAGAAAGAAAATGTGAGTCATTTTCAAAAGCCTAAGGAGCTACTTTTCAGTTGATCTGATCTACTACTTCCTTACTTCCTAATTTGATGAACTCTACTCTCTAATGTGAGGTGTTCGAACAAATCCTTTACACAACAAACCAATAGAAAAATGTTCTTAATAATTTGGCAAGACGAGTTTTAGAAGCAGATACTGTGATGAATGGATATGCCATGCAACAGATTACATGGGAATTTCAAGGCCACTAGTATTTTATTAAAGATTTTTCTTAGACTCAATATTATTATGACAGCTATTTTCACATATATAAATACATAAGTTGCTTATGGTAACTTACCAAAAAACCTACCTGACAGTCAATGTAGATGTTGCCTCATTTGTTTTTATAACAAAATATTACAGTTTCCCTTTGTTAAAAATTATTTACAATATATGGAGTCTATTATTTTCAACAAGTCACATAAATACACCTGCCATGCTTGATCTATTAGCAATACTAACGTGTACCACACTTTGTACACTTCTTGCAGAATACAGGGACAGCTAGCTGATAGCAGAACCAGAAGCAGGGTACAGGAGCGTATTCACTCCATAACACAGTTTCTCACACTGTTCAATGTGTACCTGTTGGTTGTTTTTTCTGATCGTCAAACAAGTCAGCTGAACTTATAGATGAGCTTCCAGAAAGTCTTTCTAGTCGAGCCCTTGCTTCATACTAGAAAATAATTGAAAAGAAAAAGTATTGTAACAGAATGCTGTCATCTTTTGAGGTCATGTCAGGTAATTCATGAGATTATAGGTACAGTTTTAGAACATACAAATCCGGCTGAAGTTGGCTATTCTGAAAGTTGCTCCCATTTTGTACTTTTCACATCACTTACACTGGATGAGTTTGTCATCATTTCAACTAATTTCTGAGTTGATCAGTGACATTTACCACTCCAACACCAAGAGGCCTACTCACTGTTAGCTACTCTAAAATTGCTGAAAAACTATTAAAAACAACAACTGAAAAATGTGAAATGGAGTGGTCGGGTAGGATAAGTAAAAAGCACTGCAGTTAGCATCATTTTAACCCTTCTAATCACATGATGATTTTAATTCAACTTTTTCTGAGTTCCCTGGAAAAATTATAGTAATTGATGATGATGGATTATTATTACTACACATTGATTATTCTTTTACATTACTCTTTACATTGTTAATTTTTCATTAAAAATATGTTTTTAAAGTGATCCCTCGCCTCTAAAATGCAACATAATATTAATCTGTGTTTTATTTCTAGGCTGAATCAATTACATGTCATTTGTTGAACTATTTATCACTTAGTTAGCCTTACAATAGTAATAATGTTTCCATGTAGCAAACATAGAGGGGACAGCTGTTTCAGCAACGGTTTGTTGGCATCAGTTTGGGTATTTAGAACAAATGAAGTAAGCCTACATCCAGCATTAGGCTGATTCTTTCAAAAATAAAGACTGCTGAATCATAGTCTTCTATCAGAGAAGAATGATGTTGGAGGTAAGGTCCTACCTGCAGCTGCAACTCCTTAAAATCAAATGTTATCAGAAACATCTACATCTCTATCAGACAAATATTCAAGTGGACATAATTCTATAAGCTTATTAATTCTACCAATTTTAACTATTTATGGCCATTTCTATATAAGAACACTGTGTTTATAGTCAAAGAATATTTTAATATTCAAAAATATTTATCATTGCCTTCTACTTACATCAGCTTGATCTTGCCTTCCAAAATACATGTCTGATGAAATTGCTTTTACATTGCCAAATTTTTTTTGTGCCTCATCTGTGTTTAAAGGTGGTTCATATTCGGGCTTACGACGAGATGCCGGCCTAAAAGAAAAATAAACTGCATTTGTGACCATAACTTTTATTTACATCATAGCAAAAAAATAAAATCAGTACCAATCCAGGATAAGAAGTTCAGATTACTAAGTTCATATAGCAGCTAACAAAATTTCAGTGACAGTTTTACAAGATGGTGAACAAATAACATTTCAAATTCATTAATCTTGTATCTTTATTTTCAAAGTTCATTTAAAAAGCAAGCTAAATCTCATGTGAACAAGGACAGCGTATTTCTAGAAAACATCAAAAAACCCAAAACACAATGTCAGTGAAATTCAGATTTAAATGTAATACAGAAAAAGGTTCAACATCCTTTAAACTGTCACTGCCTTCCACCTCAAACATACAAATTCAACACAGTTGTTTCGCTTTTTTCCTCCCTCCCACTTTTCCAAAGTAAATGTACCCAAATAATGAAGTAATAGCATTATGGACGTGAACCTCTATTTTGTGTAATATGCATCACTGGTCCACCAAAGAGGAAGCAGCAGAACATGCCTGTGTTAGAAAAGTTGTACTTAGATGCACAAACTCTACTTCACAGATAAATGAAAAATACAGTTTTAAGTAAGAAGAACAGAAGCAGAAAACACCAACCAAGCACACAAAGCCCCGCATTCTTATATTTTCTACTTGCTTACAAAGATCAAAACACACAGTTGTCAAAGAAATACATTCATTTTTTATCATCACAGCAATAAGACATGTTGTTTGCAAGTATCTTCAATAATTTCATCCTAAAAGCTAAGTACCTTGTACCCTGAGTACAGTTTCATTCACTTGGTAACTGGGTTCTCTGTGGTTCATTAGGCAATAAAGCAAGTAAAGCGCTGTGCTCTCGGAACAGTGCAAATATTTGAGTTTCTCTCCGTGTCTTTTATCTACTCCTTTTTTTTGCTGAAATACTTTGGAAATTACCTCCAGCATATACATTGTACAGCACTAAGCAAAACAGCCAAGTGCTTAAAATATAAATAGGAAATTCAGCTTATAAAAAAAAAAGTCTCTTGACTGCTGATAAAAGTTATGGCCAAATTCTCCTTCTAGATTGAAAAAAATCCCACTACTCTTAACAGGACTCAAAGCTTTGGCTTTCTGTAAAAAAATCAGTTAGGTTTTCTTGGTATACCTGTCTGAAAATCCTGTACTTTTTGAAGTTAACATTACATCAACATCTCTACTACTGTTTTCTTTCTTCCAAAAGGAGTCTGAATCGTCATCCCATTTAGAGAAAGTGCTGCTCCTTAAATCTGAAGAATCGTAGTACCTAAAATAAAGGAAAAAAACCCACAACCTATTGAAAAAGTGAGAACTTTATTTTGTTGCATAAATATTTCTATAGTAAGTGTACACTAGCTAGTCAGTTTTCAGCACAATGGTAGTTGTCAATGAATAACCAGGATTATGTAATATTGGTTAGAAGCTTTGTAGAATTGAATACAATGGATTTTTTGGTTTTTACACATATATTTGACTGGAAAGTTCAGCCTTTCTCTTGGCTGAATATGATAATGAATATACAATGTATCTTTGCCTGAAAGATATGGTCCCATCAAAACCAGCAAGTACTTTTTGGTCCCAAAGTATTACATGTTCTTTAGTGTCAGGCAAAGCACTGGGAAGGACACTGTTCAAGATACCTGGCTGGGTTAAGAGCAACCCTCAGAAAACTTAAGAACAGACTCTGTGAGCAAGGCACCATGACAACCCTACAAATCAGTCTGTCATAAAGGCTGGTGCTAAGATAAGAGCTATGAAAAAAGCCACCATAACTTTCAAGGCACTTTGAACTCCAGAGATCCAAGAACACTGAACTAACCCATGGCACCCAGGTGTGCTCTGGTTCCACATGGGGCAAAGTTTTTTCACGAAGGGGCTGATAATGGCTAATCTCACAGTTCCAGACAAGTCAATCTGTAAACTGTGCAAGCAGAGAATCTGGTCCCATTTTCTAAGGTATCAACAAACGGTTCAGAACAGTAAGGACCGCCCTTGTCTTTGGTTCTCTGTGTGTGTATATATATATATGTTAATTTTTATTTAAATATTTTTGGGTTTAATACAAATATTAAGTACCTCTGAGTTTTGTAACATGTTTTGTTAAAAGAACATTTAAAAACAAGTCTTAATACAACAATCTTCTCTTGCATATCAAAACCACAGGGAAAACACAAACAGAAAAGAGGGGTCGAAAATCAGCATGTTTTTAAGTTCTGGTGGTATGTTATCTTGACCTTTTCCTCTTTGATTAGCTACATATATCTAGACATATATGGAGAATACTTGAAAAAAAAACAACCTATTAAAATGCCAAAGACTAAGAATCTCCCTTTGCAGTTAAACAGACTTTCTTAAAGTTTGGATTTGACCAGGGTAGGGGCTAAAATGATCAACAGGAGGCTAGCAGAATGGAATGAGTCAGTAGAACAAGCACAGGATATTAAAATCTGCAGCTCTATTTTGTGAAAAGCATTCTTAAAAAAACCCACCCACAACAATGTCCTCCATGTTTGTGTTATGAATAGTCAGGACACTTTGTTTTTGCAGTTTATGAGAAATGTGACACGTTCAGCAGCAAGGCCTCCACCTCTGCACATGTTAAATGGCAGGGACAGATCTGGAATGAACTATAAAAAGCGAGAGTCTCTCCCCTTCCCTTTTGACAGACAAAAAGAAGCCACAGCAATCTTTCTAAGCTTTATATGGACACGTAATCTTTCTAAGTTTTATATGGACAATACAGGTGTTATTGGATAACAAGCTATCCAATCTCACAATGGCCATCAAAATCACAGGATGGGGCAGGGGCTACAAGAGCCGATCTGAATAAAATTACTTACTTTCTTTACCCTTCCCCCTCAGATTTGCATAACTTTGCAAAATACTTCTCAGTATTCAGGGAGTGTGGGAGTGGTGTGAGTGGAGGGAGAAAGAAAATCAGCATTGAATAGAAAATAAAATTTTACACTGTTACGTTAATAGATTTTATTAATTGTAGCAAAAAGAAAAATAAAAATCCAAGGATTATGAGAAGCTTCAATTATATTTCTAAATCTTCAGACACTTAGTTTGATTAATTTACAGATATTTCTCAGTCTCTGAGTGTGACTGCTTTGCTTTTGGGCAGATATGAAGATGATATTAAAACTACCTCTATTCCAAAGTCATCCTTTGGAATAAAGGCTAATAACCACCTTACAAACCTTACCAACTCCAACAATCTGACTTTATACTTTCTTTAAAGAGAATGAATTTGTACACCAACTCCAATTAGATTCCACTGTTGCTACAACTAGAAGATGACCTGGGGACACCTACGTTACAGTTTACCTTCTAATTATTGAACCAAAACACATTAAAAAGCCTTTTTCATAATTTATCCTTTGCCTGCTGGTAGACTTATGAATAATTTGAGAGCAGTAACAGTTCTTCCCAAGGAACAAACAGAGAAGTACTGAAATTATACATTTACAAGATGTTTTACAAGACTTGGTACCATGTTTGCATTTCTGCCACTAGTGATTACACTACAAAGTAATGACACAAAAGCCTTTGTGGTTTTATTTGCCTGTCTACAAGTAATTAGGTACAATTTTTCATGTTTTGTGGCACCAGTCCAATAAAGGCAGTTTATAAAAGCAACACCTGTTTCTATCTGTCAGTCCAGAAACAACTGTTTCATTGCAATTAGTGACTGTAGAACTAACTCGTTTTCCTCTCCCTCCCAACAGTGGTATTTTATAATTTGCACTGCATTCATACTCTGGTCAAAAATTCATCAATTATTTTTTGCATACTTTTTGTATTCAAATACATAGAAGTCTATCAAATAAGACTGCAGGCATCTACACAATGCATCCAACACACAATACCTCAAAAAGATGTAAGTTTTTGCATATCATGCTTCCAGTTAAGAGGCTGATGCAACCGTAGTATATATAGTATCAGACTTTGATACTTGTTTAATTTTAAATAGGAGACTGAAGACAGTATCACAAGAAAGAACAGTAAAAAAAAAAAAAAAAAAAAAGGAATGAACACAAATCATTTTGCCAAAAATAAAAAATCAACTCAATTTGGTGCACAGCAATTAAAAGCTTACATAGCAACCATCTGTGCAAATAGAGACTAAACCCTGTAAACACATAATTCAGTCTACCTTATCCTCAAAAAAAGTAACTCCTCTTCTTTATAAATACATGTGTCATCAAGGTAAGGTCGACTATTTCACTTTTCCAATACAGATGTCCCCTGAAAATATGTTAGGTGTGTAGACATGTCCAACTGTCTTCTGTTTTGATCTTAAGTTTCAAATATATTGTGCATATCTGAATACATAACTGGCATACATTTCTGCCCCCACTCCAAGGAAAAAGCTTTTAAGTTACCTTGAACTAGCAGAGAAATATGAGTCTTCTACATCATCGGTGTATTTTTTCTTTGGCTTTGCAATTACAGGTGTTTCCTGCTCTATTGTTTGCATATCTGAGGTGACTGAGTGAGAAATGCCACTGCGGACAAGAAGAAAATAAGTATAAAAGGAGATGACAAAGCTCACACCTAAAAAAAAAAAAAAATTACAGCCCAAATCTAGTTTCTGAAGCTTGCTGATAAAGCCCAAGCTATGTAAACATTTCAGAGGAAAGGAGGAGTTAAAAAAAAAAAAAAAAAGGGACATAGAAAAAGCCCTGGAATTCTCTGCAATTCTCTGAAGTAGGGACAGGACTTCTGCACACACAGACCAATCTAACAGCTGGAAAACAGAGCAATTTCAGAGTTCTGGCTTGGAAAAGACAGACTATGTTTGGGTTGGTAGTGTTCACTGAAAACATCCTACCCTCCTTACAGTCAGCTAATGGAGGCAAAAACCTTACAGACATCCTACAGTTTAGGTTAACACCTGTCTGGCAGGTTAGAACTTAAATCCATCAGAAGCAATTCTGATTCTTCCTCCTGACAAATACTAGATTCTTTGATTATATTATTTAAGTTTCCATAACATACTTTAGTATATTTTTTTCATTTCCAAAGTAAAATGAAGGATAACTGCATAAAGCCACAGACTATTTTAAAAGCAGTTTATAGAACTTCATATACCTTCTGTTGCTGCCAAATCCTATGCCAAGCCTCTCCAATTCAGTTTTCTTCTTACCAGATAGAATTAAATTTTCTTCTTTTGTTTTAACATCAAGATCTCTGTAGGCCAACCGTAAAGATGATACGCTAGAACAAAACGTACAGTTAAAATATAACTGTTAAATGCCACACAATGCCCAACCCAATAATATTGGTAGAAAATTAACAACATACATTCCAGCACTGTAATTTGCAGTTTATTGTGTTTATTGAAAATACTAATTTTTAATTGGATAAAATTCAAACTACAAGGATGAGAGAAAGCCAGTAGAGAAGACTGGATAAACAGTACTCTAGTCTGTGTATGAGCAAGTAGTCTTTTTCAAAACGAATGTGAAACTTGCTACTGCGAAAGTTCAGGACAGTTTTGCATCACCTTTAAGTCAACCTGAAAGAGTTTTTTCCACAGCTCTGATTCTAGGTAAAACCAAATAATCGTCAAAAACTCCAACTCTCATGTAATACACTACTGTGGTATTCATGATATAATACTAGCAATATTTTCCCCTAATGTCCAGTTTGGCCCTGCTATGTTGCACTCCCTTCACCCCCCTCATGCTCCCAGTGGTTTTTACACTTGCTATACATACACTCGAGACAAGTACTCAAGGTAGACCACGCTTCTTTATTGATGCTGCCCTTCCTTATGCCCAAAAGGGTATCTCAGGAGAGGGGAGGAGAGAGTCTTTGTACTCCCAAAATGGAATATATTCTGCATTATGGAAACTCTAAAGCATATAAACCTTATAATTTGCTGCACAGATGGCAACACATTTTGTCACCTGAAACGTCCCCAGAGTTCAGATACAATAAGCTGTCATTCTGAGATGCCCGTACCTCAAAACAATCACAACTGTTTTCCAATAATGCTAGTGTAGCAGAGACAGAGGTTTTTAATCTTGATTACAGAATTGTAGAAACATTGCTTACACCTAATTTGTTAGGTTTAAAGTGATACGAATGGTAATTTTAATGAGCAATGCAGCAATATTTTAATTCATAAGTTGTGACTAGCATAAAGTACAAATGAGCACTATCAGAACAGTAAATGAGATTTAGGATGCTGCTGGTAGACATCATGCTGCAAGTAGGAAGGAAGTACTTAAGCCTGAAAACCATTGTAACTTTCTATCAGTTGCAGGAATGAAACCAAGTTTTTGACCAAGGAGTATTGTTGTCCAGTATGTCTCCTAACTATTTGATTCCTGAAACTTGCCAGCTCTTGCTGGCTTGATTTCTTCTGGTCCCATGCATACTGACTAAACTTAACCAAGAGTACAAGATGCCTCTACCAAAGTTCATGCCCTGCTGGTTAGCACATCTCCTCCAAGACAGGAGCTGTGTGTCTGAACCTGTTACAATGAGAAGGACAGAGTCTGGTCTTCTTCCTTCAAAGACAAGGGATGTAGGTACCAGCCTGCTATAAGGAAGGGAGGGACATCACTCCTCCAATGATGAGGCATTTCAAAAAGGAGGAGAGCCATCTCAATCTTGTGATGATTAGGTATCCCTTGATTGGGGCTTTAAGAGGACTTGGAACCAGAACTAAAAAAAAAAATCACTGTGTCTTATGTTCAGTTGCTTATAACAGTAAAAGTCAGATACAAAAAAGGATGCATCTGTGGAATGACTTTTGAAACCAGTAAGATCAGAAATATGTATCTTCAAAGCACAGAATATGTTCAGGAACATTTTAAATCAATTCTTACAGTTTAGAACCAACTGTTACACAGAAAATTAAATATTTTCTTTAAAGTTCAACTTGAAACCACTACTGATAAAATCTACTCAGCACTTTAAATAGAAAGATTAGCAGCCCATCTTTATGAAATATTATTTATGAACACCAAAAATCTTATTTGCTGTAGATTAAAACAAATAGGTTAAATTTAAACGTAATTCCAGTTACCTACTCTCTTGTCGTACAGCAGAAAATAAAAGGTGTATCAATTATAAAGTAACATTTTAAGTCTCAGAACTCTTTAATTTTCTAAATACTAGCCTATAACTTCCATTCCTGCCACGTAACAAAGCCACATTATATTAATTTACTAAAGCTCATTAATCAAGCTTTTAAAACTAAAACTGCCATACAAATTAGTCAGAAGCAGATGCAATATTAAAGGTATTAACCGTTGTTTAATTTAGGTATATACTGCCATCTACAGTTAAAAATCCAAAAAGTTAATTGCAAGGGTAATACAGTTAACTGCCCTGCTGTGATCAGATCCATAAACTGAAGTGTATGTGCACCAATCGTGTTTGAAGACATTTTTAGAGGGTTCTGGCCACTGTAGAAAGGTTGCAGCAACCTTATACTAAAGGTTGCCTTGAATCTATATAGATCTATACATTTCTGACACAAAAAACAAGTAACTAATTGCGACTTTTCCAAACTGAATTATATCAGATATTATTATTAAAGAATAATAGTAAATAATAATGAACAATAATTTTTCTTGTTATTTAGTAGTCCATTCCTCCAAGTCACTCTATGGGTAGTTTTTGTCAATCACTGAGAAGCATGACTTTGTGCTAAAAATACTTTAGGAAAAATGAATGATCCCTTTGTGACTAACTTTTTTGCAGCACAGAAAACATCTGTTTCTGTGGAGGCTAAATAAAAGTAAGTAAAAGGAGTAGGAAAGACATTATAGACCAAAGAGCTTGGTATAATAAGCTCTAAGCGATCCTGTAAAATTTTGTCAAATGATGCGTTTTAGCACTCAAGAGAGGATGTCAAACTTTACAACAGTAAAAGCATACATTAACCAACCATTTAACAGTCTAATTTTGATGACAACTAACAAAATGTCAAAAACCAAAAACATGTAGCAAAAAAATGTAGTGGAAAGAACCAGGATCACCATCCTCGGACCCTTATAAGGGGCTGAATATTTATTAAGTGAGATGGATTAACAGATTTGCAGCCTCAAACAAAAATATTAAAAGGGTTTTAGTGAAATGAAGGCAGTTTCAGTATTAAACAGCTGAAACTCAAGCAGACAATTCTAGCCATACTTAAACTATCCCTTGCCTTCAGCATAGAAATTTTTACCCAATAAGTACAAATAAAGCTGCATATTTGTATATTACCCCTGCTCTTAAAAAGACTGGTTCAAATGGTATTCAGTCAACTACACCAAAACAAACTAAACTAACACGAGGTAAAGAAAGTTCAAGAGGCAAGAGTCTTCTGTGGTAATACTTCAACATATTTGGGGTTTATTTCACATTTTATTCATGAGTATCAGTAGAATGTCTCCTCATTTTCTCTGTTAAATAACACTACAGTTGTTTTTAAAGATAGCACTGGTCTATTTCTACTGTAGAAACTAGAAACATATACTTAATGGCCAAAAAAAAGACAATGGGGGAATTGACATTTGGCCCACCTCATCAGTATCTGGAGTTTTTTTAAAGCAAGAACTGAAGTTTTATTTGCATGAGCTAATCTCTGGTAGCATTTAAAATGTTGGCAATTACTTCATTAGCATGAAATTAGGCTTCATGGTTTACCATTGTATATTTAATTCATACTTACAGTGGCTCTTCCTTATCAGTTTTCTTACTGCTATGAAGATCCTCTTGCTCCTTCATTTTATCTACAGCTTGTGCTTGTTTTTCAATCTCATTAAAGCTTTGGCTGCTCACTTTTTGTGCCCCCAAACCACCTTTTTTGGCACCGAGCTTGATTTATCAAAAAACAGAAAACAAAAGCCCCAATGTTATAAGGGAGATAAAGACTTCAGCTGACTTAACAGTCAGCTTTGAAAGTAACAGCAAACACTATACTCTGTTCAGGAGCATATGCAAACAACAATGAAAACCTGGAGCAGAGAAAATATTTTTCCACGTTTTGACCCTCTTTACATGCTGCTTCCCCTAGCTCTTACAAATTTAGTTAGCTTTGCAGTCAAGCATTACAGGGTAATGAAACTACTATAGTTTTAATTGTTCAGAAGTTAGCATGTTCAAAAAAATAATAGATAGCACAACTTCAGTTTCTCAATCAAGGATTTTGCTGCATAGGATTAACATAATGAAACATGTTGCAATGGAACCATTTGGTGCTTAAGCACTTAATTCAGAATTTACATTTAGAAGTGGCAAATATTCTTGAATTAGTTCTCACTGCCCAGTGTGTTATCTCAAGATTAATTATTGATTTACTGGTTTACGGTAGGAGAACAATATACAGGTTTTTATGTAAGTGTATGCATGATTAGCCTTTACATGTGACAAAGCATTGTAAACTTTTTTTAAACATGTCAGATGAAAGGTTCCAGGTTTGCACTTATTCTTTTAAAATAATTCTATTCCTAGTTTGTATTACTTCAATAGAGGGATACATCTTCTTTCATTCTGATTATCAAAGACTTAAAGCCCACTTAATACTACAAACATGGCTATGATGATGTTGATTCAGACAGTGGCACAGCACTCAAACTGCTGTTCTTAGTCTCCTGTGTGCTTAATTCCTCACCTGCAACACTGCAGCAATATTAATTTTCACAATAAATTTATCTTAACCTTTTAATCCTTTAATATCTTCATATAAAAAGTTCTGGCCTACGTAAATACAGTTTTAAGCTGACACTACAGTTCACAAACTGTACATGCACCCATGAACCCAGTCATGTTCTTGTCACTGTAAGGGAACACACCTGCACATACCACTTAGAACAATAAATTTCTCCTGCGTATTAGGGCCCTCTAGTGTGAGCAAGACAGAACAGGATTCAATCTAAATTTATGTGCTCCTTTCAAATTTTTTGCCGTACAAGAGCCCAGACTTAAAAGAAACGACTCTCTGTAACACGCTGACACTCTAATAGCCTAATATGACGGCTATTTTCTTGGGCCTCAATAGCCATACATTCAAAACCTAGTTTTTCCTAGCTAACTTGAGTTAACATAAGCTGTCTTACTCATTCTTCAGGTTCCTTGAACACACCATTCTGAGACACTCAAGTCTCCTCATGCCTTCTTCACCGAGACCAGATGCCTAAGAAAGTAATAAGACCCCATCCAGAAACAAGTCTGTAAACTATATTGAAAGTATCTTGCACTGAATGCAGCTGCAAGTTGTCTATAAACACAACCAAATACTATACTGCTATGTGGTACAAGATGAGGACTCCTCCAGAAATACAGATCTGAAGTCTTATATTGACAGATTATCCACACGTGCTTATTTAGCCACTCAAAAGTGCTACTGGAACTCTCTCTGTTTTCAAGATTTGCTACAAAAGCATCTCAGTGCCCACTAATTTAGCTGAAAGCCTGAAGAAGCCCTGCAACCCAGTATCAGCAAGTGAGAAGAAAGTTACAGTGGAGTTGCAGGGATGGTGGTTGTGAAAAGAACTAAGAAATGGGATACAGACCTTGACATTGATATATGCTTTGACATTTTTATTTTACATATTTTTGAAAAAATATGACCAATCATCAGGTCCAGACAGCACAAAGAAAATGACACTCAGATATACACGTGGAAGCCTAGACAGTTCAGTGAGCTATATACACGTAAACAGACTTAGAATGTCTGAGGTCAGAAAACAACCCACAGATCTGAAGCACTCCACCACACGGAACAATAACCTGTTAGACAAATTCAAGTTAACAATAATTTGTTTTCAAACAGACTATTGGCTGTTTTGACATAGGAACAGTTTTCAATCTCATTTTAGTTTCATCGATTGTTACCGACACAAGTACTGTTTAGTGCTAACTTACTTGATACATTTCCACATTGAAATCTACAGATTTCCAGAAATCTAGAATACAGTTATAAATATGCATTATTTATATACTTACCCCCTTCTTAGCTTGATTTGGCTTCTTTTTTATGAAGGTGGTGTTCTCTGCAAGGATTAAATGTACATTACTTGGCATACAATTTTATTAATTCCAGAACTGCAGAAGATAATTTCCACAATATCAACCTCAGAACTGAATTCCCAAAACTCTATTTTATTTTATTGCCTTGAAGTATTTTAATGCCTTGAAGTATTTTAATATCTTGTATTTGTAATACAATATCTTCAGTGTCCAGAGTCTTAATTTACTTAACACTGAAGAGTATATCATACTGTAAGTAAGTAAAAACAAGTTGAGGAAAATAGAATAAAATACATTAGTGATTTATCATATTGAGGATTTTAATTTTAATGCCTTAAAGTATTACAGTATAAAGTATATCCACACTACAAGACTGAGATACTAAACTGAGTTACAGGGAACAGAGCTGTGAAGATTCCAAGAAACTGCCTCTGATTGAGGACATGGAATCTCTTGCAAATATACAATGGGAATAAAATTACAGCTCAGTCTTCAGTTGTAGATACCTGCTTGTAAACAGAATGAGAATGCACGACTTGTTATTCCAAATCTGACTAGAGGTCCACCTGATCCTGTATCACTTCCAAGATGAATTGCTTCCTACTTAGAAAGGCTATGTTTAAATCCACCGATGATACAGATAAAACATGAAGTGAATGAAGTCTGACACAACTCCTAATCTTGATATTTTTAATGAGACCCTAATAGGACTCGCTATATTCTGTAAGGCACTGGATTGTGCCTTCCTGACAGCTAACCCTGAGACAGGGTAAATCTCCCACAATCAAAACTTTGTTCAATCAGCAACTCCCATGGAATGCTTATACATACAGAAAAACTGGTTTGAGCTGAAATTTAGTTAGAAACCAGCATACACAGAACAGAGATCCTTCCCGTAAGACAGAACTTGTGATGTTCAAAACAAACAAGAAAAGCACTTGATTTATAAGAACATTTATTAAAGAAACAAATGAGAACATAAGGAAGTATATGTGGATAACTGGTTTTCCCAGTCTCCAGTTCTCAAAAAAAACCCAACAAATCAACAAAAAACAAAGCCAATCAAGTGAATATAAAAACAGTGATGAAGACCATACCTTCCTGAAGTACTAAGTTAGTCCCAGCCATCACTTCTTTACTACCCCGTGCTGCTGAGAATCAGTACTCTTTATTCTCAGAAACGTACTCCTGCAGGATGATCCTCAACATGATAAATCACTGATGCATTTTATCCTGTTTTCCTCAACTTGTTTTTACCTACTTACAGTATGATATACTCTTCAGTGTTACGTAAATTAAGACTCTGGACACTGAAGATACTGTATTACAAATACAAGATTTTTCCAGTCTAAATTTTTATGTTCAGTTTTCTGGAAAGGGAACAAAAACTGTGTCTAAATAGAAAGACTGAGCTATTAGTACAAGGTGTGTTGGCTTAACAGAAATAGCAGGCAATTAATCACAGCACAATGCTCTATTGCACCTATGTGCTTTAAATGCAGAACTTAAAGCAGTCTAACAGAAGGCATAAAACACTAATGGTCACCTTTATTAGGTGCAACACCTGTAGCATTAAAATTCACCAAGTTGGCTAAGGTAAGATAGATAAAACCAGAACAACACTGCCTAAAATTAGTATCTTAGAAGTAGTACACTGTTCAGCAGAAAAAAAACTAATACAAAATCAGATGTTTCAACTTGTGCACATGGATATTAAAAACGCCACATCTCTTCCCAGTCATACATTCTCTGTACAAATGAATATATACTGGCTGCTATCTTCTTCTGCTTAGACTCATTACCTAATGCAGCTTTTGGTGATGTACTGAGGCAATCAACACTTGGTCCATGTTCTGGTCCTAAAACGTAATAAACAACAAGGGTAAGAACATCAGAAGGTTCTTTAGAATACTTACAAGACCAAAATACAACTCTCAGTAGTCAGAGTACCGTTTGATTCATATAGCATAATGAATTATTTCTATCACAGCTTTACCAGTCACTAAAAGCAGCAGGCACCCAAAGATTCACATGAAGTCTTTTGAATCAAATATTAGTCTGGATTTCTATTAAACATTCTTAAAGGAACATGCAGTCCCACACATTTGAGCATAAGCCTTCTAAGAAGTCCTTCCTCTCCAAAATTCTTGCATTACTAGCATGACTAGGTTATTTAGTTATTAAAGTAGGGTAAAAACAGCCTAAATAAAGAGAGTACCGGAAAAATGCAGCTTATCATTAATGAAAAATCAGTTGTACCTTCATAGCAGTCTGGAGTATTTTCTGGAGTTTTCTGCTGTAGAGAAGCTGGCTCTGATAACACCTGCTCTGTATTCTTTGCCTTGAAAAAATTTACAACAATCAAAACTGTACACAAAATAGAATACCTCAAATAAATAAGAGCACTGAGCTCAAAGACTGCCTTAGCATCACTGACTAGTTAATACTGGATTCTTATGATCACAGCTTCTAGGTTTAAACCTGTTCTCAGAAGGGCAGTTATTAAAGTTACAAGAAATGACTACCCTTATGAGAAGTGAGCTAGTTTCAGACCACTCCTAAGCACCTGTATTTTCCTCTCAGCGATTTCAAGATGTTCACCATCCAAAAAAAAATTACGCATTTTAATCGTGCTTTATGTTTAATTATTGTATGTTGGCCATTAACTGTCTTTACTCATAAGAGTAATACAGTACAGGAAATCCGGATCATTTATTTACATGTAATCACCACACTGAACTCTTGCACTTCCAATTTTCTAGCACTTCATTTTTGATTGTGAGCAGTCCAGCCAAGTCTTCCTGATGAGTCTTCCCACTTCCTTCAGACACATTCTCCTCAACAGGCAGGTTTGTTATCTCATCACAGTATCAGCTTAGCATTATCTTTTCCACCAATGCTGAGCCACTACCAGTTCATGCTTATTCTTCCCTAAAACCTCCATCTCAAAATTTCCTAACATCTCTCTCAAAACATCCATACCGAAATAATCTCTTGCCCTGAAGTAAACAAACTGCTTTTCTCCTACCTCCTGCCTTTGCAGTTACCTGAAAAGTTTGCTATAAAGATTAACTTTATTCTATCCACACATCTGTATGAAGTTCCTACTTCTTGTCCTCAACCACAAAAATACTGACAACACTTTTCTGCTTAAACTTCTTTTTCCTTAGCTTGCCTCAGTTCATGCCTCTTCCACTCAACTGCAAGTACTCTTCCAAGCTGCTTTTTGCAAACAGAAATACCCAGTTTGGTTTTCTACTATGAAGACAGGTGATCTTCTGGTGACAACACTAGACTAGAATTCACAGTAACTGATTTCTTTGGGGGGGGGGGGTTTGCAATGAACATTTCTGAGTAAAACAGCAATCCTCCCAGTCTGTAAAATATAAACACATTTTCACTGTTTCAAAGATGCTGAAATTTATTTTTATAAGACATTCAAATATTGGCTGCAGTACAAGTCCCTAAAATAAAAAAAAAAAAAAAATAGCAAAAGGGCTGAACTTCCCTTTAAAAAGCAGCATTTTCAAAACTTCACAAATACAACAAAAAAGTTACGTTTGAAATGTTACAACCAAATAACCAAAAGGAAAAAAATAGTCATTTTTCATTCAAGTTACAGCTTTTGTCATCCTTAAGCGTCCCGTATACACTAAAAAGTCACGTCATTTTTACTGTGTTCTTTAGCCAGGTATAGATATAAGCAACTTGTATACGCTTTTATTACTAGCTGCTAATGCACATGCACAACCACAACATCATGACAAGGAAATTAATTTGCATATGAACTGGTGAAGAGTTTTCACAACAGGGGCTAATCTGATATACCCAAGCCCTTTGAATTCTTCTCTATCCCAAAATATGCTTAGTGATTACACTTGTGGTTTAAGTGTTACAGACTGCAACTGTACTAGAAAACAATTATACTAGAACACTTAATATTGTTGCAATATTTAGGAGTACTAGGTGCAGTAATAACTTAATTGCTCTAAGTTGAAGATGACAATTGCGATCTGTTTTTCAAATACTAGAGGCAAGAGAGTCTCTGAACATTAATGTGTGAAATAAAAACAGCATCTATCACCTTAAGGAGGCAAGATCAAATAAATGAAAACTGACAGAAGCAATAGACTTCAGAAAGTTAGCATTTTCAAACAGGATGAAAGCATTTCGGAGGAATAAAAAAGAATTCTGTTTAGCAAATGCTTTCAGAACTGTTAAACTTTACTGATTAAAAACCGAAGTTATCACATAGTATATTTAAATCAGAGCAATCCCAATCATGAGTCCAAGTGGAATTATATGCCTACAAAAGGTATAGTTTCATTCCACATTTAGCTACTATTTGGGTCATTCTAAATTATTGCCTTAGAAAGTGGTTCACATCCAGGAAGAATTTTGAGACCCACAGACGGAAAGGCAGACAAATGTTAACTCACTGACCTACCCTTTCTATACAAGGTTTTCTTTCAGGGTTTAATCTTCATCATAGAACACACAGTTAACCTACGTGTTTAGAAAGCTAACAAGAATGAAACACAGGTAACCTATACCTTGGGAGAAACATGGGATGCAAAAAAGTCTTCCTCTTTGTTTTGAGGTGACACAGGTGGCATTCCACATCCATCTGTCCACAGCTAGAATTGGAGGAGAGAGAGAGAATTTTACATGAAAATTGCCTGAATATATTCTTTTTTCAAACACACTAATCTTAAAACTCCTTTTTTTTCTGGTACATAATTTTTCCTTACAAATATATTCAAGCTTCAATATATTACATTTCTTTATTTTTAATTTCATACATATTTGATGTGTTCCTTCACATTACCCATTTCCTAACAAAATGCTCAATATAAGCTCTGCTGCAGTAATACTGTCAATATTTAGTATCACTAGACCTTTACAGTAAGCTTTTTCATATTCTCATATAAGGTATTTTCTTTCTAATACTCTTGTTTTGCCCAAAGCAAAAATGCCCAAACTAAACCCAAAAATGTAACACTGGCAGTCACTGGAAACAGTTTTCAGAATTGTAGCAGTGTGGTCCTATACCCTGATGAATTTTCCCACCTACTCTCAGAGTCCCATCACCTCTGCTACAGCTAAAGCAGAGTTTTGCGAGATGCTAACAGCTCTGAGCAATGCCTGACCTCAGGGCAGGCTGGCGGGCCCACAGTGCCACAGGTATTCTCAGCATTGTGCAAGACAGGTCTATAACCTGTATCTGCACACTCCCAGCTTACTCATAGGCAAATCATTTCTCACGATACATGACCAAAAATAACAACCTCTGTCAAAAAGGTTACTGAATGTGCAACAAGCTTACCTCACCATTCGACAAGCAACTCCATCCTTAAGTTAGAGAAGAAATATTTTACCATGTGAAAGGGGAGGTGACGGTTGATACTAAACCTAACTATCCGAATAATTTACTTCAGCAATTTAGATAGTACACAATCACTTCAGCTTGCACTACATAATTACAAAGTTTATTAATTTAACAAAACCAAACATAATTAATATCAAACAATTCGATGGAATCTGTAATTGAAGCAAGATAATCACAGTTCTTCAAAGTATCACTTGGGTAACTTAACGATCAACTTGAATGCACACAGTGTAATATATTTACTTGAACATGTTTTATATCTAAACCTGTTTAGTAACTCAAAAGAAATATTCTCTAAAGTTAGCGACGTGAACTAGTGTCTATAACATTTATAATATAAATTTATTAAAATCTATAAAATGTCATGCTATTTGATGCACAGATTAAAAAAAAACCCAGCCACCTTGCTTTTCTTTTAATTCCCACTCATCTGATCAACTTCAAATGAATCAGTCACCAACTTCAACAAGTGTAATTAAACAATCAAAACATGTTTTCTGTGTGTGTAGAAGAGAACTGTTGTCAAACTTATCACTTCAGCAAACCAATTCTGCATACTTTGCTAAGAACTTATTCCTGTCAGCAACCTAACAATGTTTTGATAGCATGCATGAACTCTTTCAGCATTTTTAATGGAACACAGCAAGTTCAGGACGCACATAACTTCCTAAGTTTTCAAATATTATTTTTGCAGGGCAAAAACTAAAACCACACATTTACCTGTTCAAATCACATCCTACTTAAATCACAAATATTTTGTAGTTAATTCTATCAGCACTTTTACATGCTGTACTTCTCAATAATAATTCAGTTCCTGATAAATAAAAATAAAAACATTTTTTTATGCAATACTACTAATATAATTTTGGAGGACACCTGCAAAGAAGTTTCCATTCTGAAGGATACCTTAACTTTCTGTCTAGAACCCATATAAGTTACTGCAAATGTTAATGTTTTGAATAACCAATAAATTATCCTGAATTACCCAGCTGAGCTCTAGCTCAATGTTCTTTTTCCAAACAAAAAAGGTATGCTATAAACAGTTTACTCCCCAGCTTGCCTATTCACTGCAATGTGTATCAGTACCTCCCAAAGACAGATAATGTTTTACATTACTAATGAGAAACTTTAAATTACTCCAGGCGAGAGAACATAAAGTTTTTCAGAAATCTTATGGACACAGGATACACACTACTCACATCAGTACCATGCTTTCTTGTTGCCTGTGTTGCAAGAGATTTAATCTTCTCCTTGTAAAGCTGAGCAACACGACTGTTGTACTTTGCATTGGTATCATTTGTTGTGCATCCGTGTTGATGGAAAAAAGCAGACTGTGAAGCAGAACACAGTAAATGCCATGAGAAAGAGGTTTAAAAACTAATGTCATTCAACGTAAAAATATACCACAGTGCAGCAAAATACGCTGCTCCTCTACCTAAATCCAACCTTTTCAATTATGAAGTCTATGTACATCTCCAAAATACAAAGAAAACCCCATTCTGGCAACCTCTTTGCATATAAATAAAACAACAGAAAAATCAAATACATTAGTGGGATGCTTTAAAAGCATCTACAAATGCAAGTCTGCCATCATAGACAAAAAAATCCTAGTTCTGAAATTAAGTGTAGAAAGGAAGACATAGAATTGATTGCCAATACCTGTGCTTCAAGGGACATTCCTGATATTCTAAAAGACATTGCTTGGCTTCATCTCTAGCATGCTAGAGAGAACAATGTATGTCCAATAGCATCAAAATGACTGTATAAAAATTGCCTTCTTCAAAAGAAAAGTGTGTGAATGCACATATATAAGTACCCATATATTTTTATATGCTTGTGTATTTATATGAAGATACAGGAATATAAATGAAAAATTCTATTCAGATTTAGGATTTTAAAACAAAAGCAAATCAATGCATTTACATCGGACTTTCAGAAGCTCTTTGAAAGATTAAAAAAAACCCCAACAAACAACAATCTTCTCAGTACCTAGAATTGAATAGCAAATCAAATCATACATTCTGTCACAGAAGAACAGGACAGACTGTTACCATAGAACATAATAAACAAGTTTCCGATAGATCAGCAAGTCTAGATAACCTAGGGTTATCATCTCATATGCTGGAATTGCAAAGCATAAATCTAGTAGTATACAAGTACCTGACTTGGTATAAAAATTAAGCAACAACCATGTAGGAGAGAGAAATTGCCAGTCAACTTCTGTGATTCCAACAGAAACAGCTGTAAACATCACAGATGCCAAAAAGATTGTGCATTTTTGCATTTAAATACGCGTACCTATGAACTTGATATTTAGAGCTATTTTTTTTTGTAAACTCTAATTCCAATCATTGTAGAGATTTATTCTGAAAACAAAAGGAACTAAGAACACTTCAGATTTACTAGCAATTCGACACATAGCTATGAAGCACAGGACTCCTGTTCTCCAAGATTTGGCATCATCAGGCAATTATAGAATACAAATTATTAGTGTTAATCTGACAGTGCTTCTAACCATAAATTAGTAAAAATAGAATTTGGCATTTAATTTGGAACAAAAAGGGATTTTTTTTTTTGTGCAATTAGAAGAAAAATGTTAATTTTACTTTTTAAAATGTCCAAACAGTTTACTAAACAGGCCTTTAATTTAATTATTAAGTATTATGATAATTATAATTATTTAGTTATTAAGGTATTAATCTTCATAGGTATCCCAAACAGGCCACTGTGAATTTGAGGTATTTGAGGAGTGGCTGGGTATATTACATCTGTTGGTAAAATACATGATAAGAAACAGTGACATAAAGCAGAAAGACAAAACCTCATAAAATTAAATAATAAGGGTTTACTGTTGTTGTTCTGGTAATATGCTTTCTAAGATTAACAGAAGTACTTTTCAGACTTTGCCATCTTCCTTCCAACTGCCTTAAACCCTTTGTATGGCTAAGTTTATAGAGTTTAACCAAAGCTTGTAAGCCTTTGGCTAAAAAAGAAAGTATTTTTCATGCAAAATCTCCCTCTTCTGATTAGTCGAAACTGTGGGGTTTATGAACTAAGTGGCATAACAGGTTTTACTGGAAAATGCAGAAGTGAGAGGTAATAATGATCCCAAATTCATCATTTTTGTATGGAAACAGAAAAAAAATCCAGCAGAGTATTGAAGTGTTAGAAAGGAAAGCAGATTAAGAAAATTGTTAAGAAAAAGCCTATGGAAAGCAAGTTTGGATGAAGTTTCTTAAAGAAACAATAAGGACAAAGCACAGATGAAGAAAGATAAGGGGAAGCTTTCAGGGAATTGGAAGAAAAGTAGAAATTTCTTAGGAAAGTTGCATGTTTCCACACTGGCTGGGTCAATTTGGGGAAGTAATCTCAGTAATTTGTGGTCAAACTTTGAAAAAAATATGGGAAAATAGGCAATATTCCAGAAGAGTTGACAAAGGAAGACATCCTCCTATGAAAATGAAATTGGGAACAATATACCTGTCAACGTAACTTCAATTTACATAAATAATGTGTAACAAACTTATCTGTAAGTACATAAAAAATCAAATTGAAAGGAACAGCCGATATGAAATGGGCCACACCAAAACACTGCTATTTCCTCTCTGACATATATGTATATTTCAGTATAGTATGTCATATCTTGGCTTCAGTTGTACCTCCAGAGTAAGTCAGATCTTAACTTGACTTTTGACAATGACATGATCTTTGGCATGATATTTTCATAAACCATGTAAGGAAACACAACCACAGAAAGATGACCATAAGCTAGGTTTACAAGCTGTTGGCAAGCCATCTTTCAGCAGCTGCCAATGTCTCCCTGTGAAACAGTGATTTTTATTAATGATTTGTAAGAAAAAACGAAACATTTGCAGATTATACCAAGAAGGAAAAGTTGCAAGTATGGAGGATGAAATCAGGAATCAAAGGAATTCTTAAAATACAAAAAAAGAAAAAACAGAAGAGAAATGGACTGGGAAAATACAAGTATCCCCAAGATATGAGCCAGAAAGGACAGGCAATAGTTTCCAAGCCTAACAAGCTTCAATGTGCAAAGCAAATTCCCAGGAGTACATACAGCATTTGCATTTCCTCCAACTTGCATGCATCTCAGCTGAAACCAAGACCAATTGGAATCCAGTTCTGTAGATCTAAACAGAAGGAAATATTTTTAATGTTATCTCCAAAGCCATTTAAAATCTTTCTACCTTTTGTAAAGTGTTTCTCTCCCCCCCCCCTTTTTTAAAAAAGTGAAAACATCCATCTATTTTTAAAAAAAAAAAAATCTGTGACAATACACAAGGTGCAAGAGAAGTTAATAAAGTCATGTAGAACTGCCACAGTTTTACCAGCTGTAAAAGCTTGAAAAGAAATGTACCGTCTGACAGGTTTTTCCTGTTAAATTGTTTTCAGAGTAACATTTGAACTCTGTCAAAAGCAAATCACAATCACATGCAATGGACAAAGTAACAATTCAAATGTCATACCACAACAAAAATTTTGGGCTCAGTGAGTATAAGGAGACTTAATACTGTGATTGTTAGGAAAGGACTCTTGAGAAGCCTTTTGTAACCCTCTTGTATACAGCAAAAAGGCAGCAGAAGAAAAATCTTAGTTGATGGAAAACAGGTGCTTTTATCAGCACTTCAAGCAGAACATTACATTTCAAATATGTAATTATTTATTAGGCCAAAAAGGCTCACAGGCCATCATTTAGGATACTCACCTGAAATGTGACAAGCTCAGGGTGCAGATTTACTGCACCAACTGATCAACTGAGCTAAACAGCTGCCAGAAGGGATAGCCCTTTACACCTTCGCAGTACTATCACTCAGGTGACACCATCATGAACTACTTCAGGAAGCAAAGCTGGCAAAATGCTACTTAGCTCTCTGACCTGGCTTGCTGGGAGTCAGATTATTTTTATGATCAATACACTGTAAAACTGTGGAAGATGATAAACTAGTATTTGCCTCAGTCTTGATTTGAAAGAATGATAAATCACTTCAAAGATGCTCGCATTGTTCTTCATTTTTACCATCTTCACTGTAGAAACAGACCTGCCAACAAATGCACACTACTAACACATCAGCAGGTAATGGGAATGGGTGCAGGGTAAAAATACTGCTGAAACCTACCTATTTATCTAATTCCCAAGCAGCTGTTAAATACATCAAAGCCAATATAAACATTAAAAAGGTCTGAATCAGTAGCTGAAAGAATGGCTTTTCCCCTCTGAGCAGGTATCTGAACAAACAGAAACATTAAGAGATGCAATTTTAACTGTAAAAATATACAAGCTACTTACCGAATGAAACTCAAATGAACACCAAGTGATCGATGGGTCCCTGAACAATCAATACAGAGAAAAACTCCATATGTTATGCTTGCCCAGCTAGGGTTCTTCGCTCCGCAGTCAAAACATACCTTAAGGAAATAAAGATCCGTAAGATCGGTAACAGGACTTGATCATAACCACGTCTTGCAGTTGTATTATCGGTCATGCTAACACCCTTGTAGTGATCAGATTTCATTAACTCATCTTACAGAATTTGTTGACATGATGACTTTATATTATCCTAATTTTACAAATATAAGGAGGAGCTACACAATCTGCCCACACCTGTGTGTCAGGGCCCTAACTAGACAGGACTACATGCCCTCCCATCTTCCAACTACAACCAGCGTAGACAGGGACCACAGGTTGAGAAACCGGGCCAGAGAATCCCCATCAGACTAGTTCAAAAACACATTTAATGCAGTACTTCCCGCACTACTGAAATATGAAAGCATTTAAGAAATACTTTCCCAAGGGCAGGCTCTCTTCATGACATACCAAGTCTACTCTTTCCTCAGAACATACATGCAACTGCAGCTATCAGCAGAACTAATGACATGACGATCTACTTTCCTATGCAGAATCCTCAATCTTTAGAACAAGCCACTGAAACCCTGCTCTGTGAAGAAAGCATCCACTCTGTGCACTGCATAGCTGAGCAACCTCTGCCAGACATGACTGTTAGCATGATGTACTGCTGCATCAACCTGTTGACTGTCCATCACGAACTGCTTAAAAAGCAAACATGTCCACAAGTTCTGTATAGACAAAACCATGAACTTCTTATTCTCAACCACCACATAAGGCTCCTAACATTCAGCCAAAAATACAAGAGGTGTGTCTACATCTCATATGCTTTGCAGGTCTGCAGACCACAACTTTCAAGTCCTGTTTCAGCCGTTCTGCATTTTGTGCTTCTTTGCCCAAGGAAAGCAAGAACAAAAAATTTACCTCATGCAAATCAATTTTCAAATGCAAGGAAAACCACAAATTTAAACAGAAACAGCTATTCCTAGTTAATGCCATGTGCACACCTCTATTCCTTTATGAAAGCACTTCATTATCTGGTTAATGCTTTTTCAGTGGTATTTATAAATGCTTCAGAGAAATACTTCTACAGTAAAAGCATCCATCTATAGGTACAGTCACTGGCATCTACTAAGAAACAGCTCCACAGAGAGATAAGCTTTTACACACAAATTGACAGTTCCAGTCTTCAACTTTATCCTTTAACATCCTATAAATGTAATGTATCCTCAGATAGCAAGGGAAGATCTAGCTACACGCAGAAAGAAAATAAAAAGTTTATTCCAAGCCAGCTGCTAGGGACATACGGAACACCCTACGCATGCAGCCACAGTGCTTCCAGCACCTCTCTGTCAGGTTGAAAACAACATTAAAACACTAAGAAGTCTCCTTTATCAATCCATTCATACAGATTTTTGTCTCTGTTTTTTCATACATACCCAGTCAAACAAGCCCTGAGACTGCACTCAGGTCAGCTCGCCCATCATCCACCCGAATTAATTTCAAGTACATGCCCAGGAGCAGTTTTAGGCTAAACTCATTTTAGTGTGGGTCTATTTAGCTTTTACAGTTCAAATATATCAGGCACAAGCAAAGTTCACCAGCAAATCTCAGCATTAGCTCTTCTAACACACAAACATCATGAGTGAGCTTCAGTTAGGCTTGTAACCAGTTACACAAACAGAAAGCACGGAGGTCACAGTTTCTGACTGTGCGAGTCCCCTCTTCCTCTCTCAACAGAGATGTAACATTCATTAAGTCATTTATGTATCCCACTACTGCATGTGGAAATGGGGTCATTCACTAACATACAGCAGAAAAAAGAAACAAGATAAAAGCTACACAGAATGAGTGATCAAAGGAGGGGTTAGACGGAGTCCCTGAAACAAGCACAGGTGGAAGAATGATAAAAAGGAGCTAGGGAAAAAGAATGAGTAGCATTTCATGCATGCCATATTCTCAGAAAACACACAGCCTTTGTAGTCAGAACTCATTCACCTTTTCCCAATTCTCTCCATTCTTTGAAGTAGTTCCTTAAAGAAAACCATAAGCTTCATCTTCATTTTAAATTGACTATTTTCAGGCTTTCTCTTACAAGGCCAAAAGGAGGATGGGGACAACGAAACAGGAGAAGATTCTACTTGAAACTGAAGCTAATCAAACAGCCCTGGTCTCACTTCTAGTGCAGGAGAGCAAAGCAGACTTAGAGTCATAAGTCTTGTGGAAATTCCCTGGCATAAATATGGGAAATGCGAATCATGAGTATCAGTGGGTGGTTAAAAAAATTGTTTAAAAAGCTCAGTTACAAACATCCCTAAGGATTCTGCTTCCCTCTCTGGTACAATTATAAGCACTTCTTAGTTTCAACATCTTAGAAGTCCATTGCATCACCTTGAAAGCTAGCTGCCACAAAGCAGGATGCTCTATCAGCTATTTACCAGACACCTGTGAAAATTTTTCATATTAATAAAACTTGCAGCTTTTAGGATTGTGATGCAAGTAGGAACATCTAATTGTCTTGTGCCATTTCCAACACATTATGCAACAAAAATAGAAGCAGGTTTCATTAACATTTAGACTCATTTTGCTTAGTTTTCTCAATTTTTAAAGCGATTCCTACCACATAAATTTTAACAAGAATTAAAAAAAAAATCAAAACCCATTTCAGAGCCATGCCATGAAATTGTTTCAATTTTAAAAACAGATAAAGTGTATTTTCTGTACTGATTTAAGTACAACTAAAATATCAAAATAATCATATAAAAATCAGTTTGAAGGATAGGCTTAAGTAATCTATTGCTTTTAAAATACACTTGCATTCTTTTTGCTTATTTTGTGTTAAAGCATTCAGAGCAGTAAAGGCTCAGTAACAGTCACTTTGAAAAAAAACGGCAAAAGCCCTAATTGAGGTATCTGTATGAGAGCAAACACAAAGGTTTGGTGTAGTCCTCAGCAAGCAGTCATTAAATCCTACAATATCCACCTTTCACAAGATGCCTACGTTAATAAATTAATATATAATACATATTGCTATTGGACATGGAAATGTAATAATATATTGCCTATAGAAATGTTAGTTTTGGCACTTCTGAAGAGGTGAGCAGGTTCAGCAAGCAAATCCACTTATATCCCTGAGGTCATGGTTAGATGCTTTCAACCTCTACACAGAATCTTTAAACCTCCCATGTAGTGGGGCTGCTGCCACAGGGTAGCTCTGCATCTGCTTGTGCTTGCCACTCCAAGCATGCCCAGCCACAACACTAAACTCAGGAGGCAGTTTCACACTTGGTCAAAGGTCAGCTAAATCCAAGCAGCTACTCTCTTAGTTATCAGCCACCGTATCCAGATATGCTTTCCTTCTTCTCTTGCATCAGCAGTAAGAGTCACACTTGTTAATCATACTGCACTGCACTGCTTTGACTCTGAGCAAAGGTAGGTCCAACTCACAGCACAGCCACATGAGCAGTAATGCCAACATATGGGAGGGAACAGGAGTGTTTGCCCTTAAAAGAAGACAGAACTGCCCATTTTGGAAGTGTTACGGTCTTAAAATGACTAACGTGACACAAAATATACTACACTTCATGCTGATGCAAAAAACCTCCCACCCTCCAACACACACACAAACCACACCAGAATACACACGGTAATAACAAAACTTACAGCTGATAAATGACCACCACATCACCCGTACTTAGTCTTCAGCCAGTTCAGATTCTTAATCTCGGTGTCCAAGCAGGGACATGAATACTATCATCAATAGAAGAAAATAAAGAGCCAGAGAGAACGAAACGCTTAACAGTTTCAGAGGAGCAGATCTACGCCAGATTGAAAGTGACTATACAGCCTCAGTATGCAAGCCTTCAAACCAGGTGGGCTTTACAAGCACTCAAGTTAGCAATACCTGGCAGTTCAAGGACTATGAACACTTGCAGACATACAAAATACACCCTATTTAATAATTTTAACATGTTTGTTAACTGCCATCAGGCAGCTCTGTATCAAGTAATACCCCAAGACACACCAAGAACTGAAAAAAAAAAAAGCTGTTTCTCATGTTATACAAAGGAAACTAAGATGAAATTACAGATATGTTAATTTCAAGACAATTATTCAAACATCAGTTTAAACACACCACAATCCACAAATTAAATTGCACATTTATTTAGATGAGAATTATCTTCCTAAGCTCATGTGCACTAAGAACCACTGCAGAGCATGTAACCCAGTGTAAATGTAGATGCCTGTTCACAGCAGCCAGCCAGTAAGCCCAGATGCCACACAGAACAGACACCAGCTCTTCCCAAACTGTATACATAAACACCACAGCTCAGCATATTATTAAGCTTTTAATACAGAACCTTTCCAGTATTTGCACTTTCCCACGTCTATCTTTCCCAGCAGAAAAGCCCCACAAACAAAAGGAGCAGACTGTGTAAGAACACAAGAGAAAGGAAACAAAACAAGATGTGCTCAAACACAAGGGGATAAACTTACGGCAGCAATACTTAAGAAGACTGGTCAGATACATGGGCATGGGGCAGTTGTGAGATCCAAACTGTTTATATTTCCCACTGTCCTTCCTCTCTGTCTTTACAGGTCAGCGAGACCAGGCTTCGCTGCAGCGTAACAAGTTCTCTGCGCCTGAGCTCCTTCTTTCAAACTGACCCAGTGTGAACAGCAGCACACACTGTGCTAACACTGCTTTGTCAACATCAGCATTACATTTCTACGTAGGACTAGGCACAACTGCAAGGCAAGACAGATATGCCTGAGTAACCACAGGTACCACATCCACCTTATTAAGTCCAGCATGGTAACAATGAGTTCAGTACAGGGGATGTGTTCAAGGCACTCCATCCTCAGGCTTTCCCCTCTCGCCAGCTGTGGGCAATACTTTGTGATGGTCTTGTGATCCCAATACAGAAGCAGCATCACAACAGCATTACAGAACTACTCACTCTCTTAAGTGCAGTGCCAGTGAATTTCAGAAGCTTGTAAAAGATCTTCTATTTGACTCTCCCTGTTGGGACTAGGACCATGATAACTTTCTACC